TATATATATATATATATATACAACAGGACACAGAGCAGCAGCAGCAAGAGCAGCAGCAGGAGATACAGATACAAATACACCACCACCACCACCGCCAGGACCACGATCAGCAGCAGCAGCAGCAGCAGCAGCAGCAGCAGCAGCAGCAGCAGCAGCAGGACTAACTGTATCATTCTTTGGCAAGGTTTTTGATTATAACGAAGAAATGTATTTCTATCACTAAGGGAATATAAACATTGTTGTACTTCTTCTGCTGTTAATTGATCAGCAGCAGCAGCAGCAGCAGCAGCAGCAGAAGAAGAAGAGGAGGAAGAAGAAGAGTCAACGTCACCGTCACAACCCTTCGCAAATATATTCAACCCTGCAGCAGCAGCAGCAGCAGCAGCAGCAAAAGCAACAGCAACAGCAAATACGGGATGCAGCAATAGTTGCAACAGCAGCAGCAGCAGCAAACGCGGGAACCCTAGCAGCAATTTCAGCAGCAGCAGCAGCAGCAATTTCAACAGCAGCAGCAGCAGCAATTTCAGCAGCAGCAGGAGCAGCAATTTCAGCAGCAATTCCAGCGACAGCAGCAGCGAAATCGGAGACCAGCCTGTTACACCCCTAAACCCTAAACCCTAAACCCTAAACCCTAAACCCTAAACCCTTACTGAGTCCAAATAGAGCTTTCTGTTTGACGGGTTGATTAGATGCATATTTACGCGTAAGGGTTTTTATTGCTGCTTCTTTTTCTTTTATTTCTTTATCTATTTGTGCTCTTGTTTTATTCTGGGGCATTATCTCTGACAAAACCCCAAACCCTAAACCCTAAACCCTAAACCCTCAAAAATACCCTAAACCCTTTAAATATATACAAACACTCCTAATACAATCACATGCTAAATATACACTACATGGACCTTTTCTATATATTAAGGGTTTAGGGTTTAGGGATTAAGGGTTTATTTATGATTCAAGGGTTTTAGGGTTTAAGAGTTTATTTAGGGTTTAGGGTTTAGGGTTTAGGGTTTACCTCTAGTAGCAATATGAACAAGAGGATCCTTAAGGAGGGCCAATCCATTTTTCTTTGAGGCCAAGAGTGAATAAACAGTATTTACTGCAAAAGAGCAAACCCTAAACCCTAATAAACCCAAACCCTAAACCCTAATAAACCCTAATAAACCGTAATAAACCGTAATAAACCCTATATGTATATGAATAAGGGTTATGAATAAGAACTCGGGAATTCATGACTAGGATTAAGGGTTTAATAAGAAAAGAATAAGAATTAGTGTTTATAAATAAGAATTAAGAAAATTAGGGTTTAGGGTTTAGGGTTTAAATTACATACCTGGCATAACTAAATCAAATTGTAATAATTGTTGTATTTCTGGTTTATTACTATCCATAAGAAAATAAATTAATTTACCATAAGAGGATCTCATCCTCTCAGGGTTTAGGGTTTTATATCTTCTTCCTACCTCAAATATATTCTTATAAAATATACTTTGTTCCTTAAATGTTAATTCTTGTAATAAACGTTCGCCAGCCTCTGTATGCATGCATGCATGCATGCAGCAGCAGCAGCAGCAGCAACAGCAGCAGCAGCAATAGCAGCAGCAGCAACAGGAAGAGGAAGAGGAACAAGAGGACATTCATTCAGTCATTATAATCATCAACAATATTTTTATAGCATAAACATTACAAATCAATAACATCCATCAGCAGCAACAGCAGCAGCAGCAACAGCAGCAGCAGCAGCAGCAGCAGCAACAGCAGCAGCAGCAGCAGCAGGTAACTAACAAAAATAATCAGCAATAAGTAGACCAACAAGAAGAGCACAAAGATGATAAATAAACAACACTACCATCACCACCACACCCATCAGCAGCACCGCAATCAGCAGCAGCAGCAGCAGCAGCAGCAGCAGCAGCAGGAGCAGCAGGAGCAGCAGCAAACTAACCAAAATCATCAGCAATAAGTAGACCAACAAGAAGAGCACAAAGATGACAAATAAAAAACACTACCATCACCACCACACCCAGCAAAAGGAACAGCAGCAGCAGCAGCAACAGCAGCAGCAGCAGCAGCAGGTGCAGCAGCAACTAACCAAAATCATCAGCAATAAGTAGACCAACAAGAAGAGCACAAAGATGACGAATTTCTTTGACGATTTTTTTTGTTTTATTTGTACAAATTATATCTACTTTATCGCTATATTCAGATACCTCTAATGCTCCTTCTAATAAACGTAAACAACGACGTTCTGTATATATACAAACAATAAACCCTAAACCCTTGTAAACCCTTGTAAACCCTTCATTAGGGTTTACGAGAAAGATACCCAAAAAACGACCTCCTAACTCCTTATACTTCTTTTTTTATGAATATTTAGGGAATAACATGTGCAAACCCTAAACCCTCGTAAACCCTCGTAAACCCTCGTAAACCCTAAACCCTTAAATATAAACAATAAAAAGGGAGAGAGAAAAAGAAGGATAAAAATGACAAGATTAATGCAACAAGATGAGGGTTTAGGGTTTACATAATAATATACTAGGGTAATAATATATTCAATATATCCTAGGGTTTCTAGGGTTTACATATATTAGGGTTTAGGGTTTAGGGTTTAGGGTTTAGAGGTACCTTCATAGGTAAGTCTCAGGGGAACAAACTTAGCAATGTTAATAAGTTGCTCAGGAGTTGGCTCATCATCATCTCCTGCTGCTGCTGCTGCTGCTGCAGCAGCTGCAGCTGCTGCTGCTGCTGCTGCAGCAGCATCTGAATCCTCAGCCTCTGCTGCTGCTTGCTCAGCTGCAACCTGCAGCAGCAAACAGCAGCAGCAGCAACAACAAAAAAAAGGGTTTAGGGTTTACGTCTTAATAACGCCAATTAACCAATTATACCCACAAACCCTAAACCCTAAACCCTAAACCCTGGTAATACTAAACCCTCAAGTTGCTTGTAAACCCTAATAAACCCTAATAAACCCCTCTAAACCCTTCTAAACCCTAAACCCTAAACCCTAAACCCTAATTACCTGTTCAACTCTTGCTGCAACCTCTGGTGCAACATCAGCAAGAACATCATCAAGGGTTTTCCCTTCTACTAAACCATTTACAACTATACACAGACACACAATGCATATTTGCTGCTGCTGCTGCTGCTGCTGCTGCTGCTGCTGCTGCTGGTGATGCTGGTATTGTTGTTGCTGGTGTTGCTGCTGCTGATATTGTTGCTGCTAGTTCTGATGCTGCTTGTGCTGCTGCTGCTGCTGCTGCTGCTGCTGCTGCTGCTGTAAATCTACGGTGCATAGACACCGCAGATATATGCTCACAAAGACAAATAAGAATGTGAGTTCAGCAGCAGCAGCAGCAGCAGCAGCAGCAACAGCAGCAAATACAGCAGCAGCAACAGCAAACTAAGCAGCAGCAGCAAATGCCCAAGAGTACATCTATGACAGCAACCGGCCAACAGCAGCAAACTTCCATCATCCGTAATCACCCAACCTGCTGCTGCTGCTGCTGCTGCTGCTGCTGCAGGATCAGCAGCAGCAAATGCCGCCACAACCGCATAACCATCAACAACAGCGGCAACGCCAGCAGCAGCAACAGCAGCAGCAGCAGCAGCAGCAACAGCAGCAGCAGACTAACCTGCTAGTATTTCTCTTTGTGAGAGATTGCTGATCATAGCAATGTGTTTTTCTTTTAGGTTGCTGACAGCAGCAGCAGCAGATACACCTGAATTATCTGCTGCTGCTGCTGCAGCAGCAGCAGCAGCAGAATCATCTACTATCTCTATTCTTTTTTGTAGTGCTGCTGTTGCTTCATCTATATCTCCTGTTAATACCATACCAAGTGTCCTGCTGCTGCTGTTGCTGTTGCGGTTGCTGCTGCTGCTGCTGTGGGATCTGCTGCTGCTGCTGCTGCTGCTGCTGTCATCCGGGCTTCGGCATGATATTGATGAAGCAGAGCCCAGAGACCCCTCCGAGCTGCTGTCGCTATCATCCATCATTGCTGCTGCTGCTGTTGCTGCTGTTGCTGCTGCTGCTGTTGCTGCTGCTGCTGCTGCTCTCGATGCAGCACTGCGGAGGGTGTAGCTGCTGCTGCTGCTCTTGAGTACCCTTAAACAGATAAAAGTAAATAATAAGTAGAGAAGAGGGAAGGAATAAGCAGCGGGAGGTTTGCCGCTGCTGCTGCAGCCGTGCTCCTGGTGCTGCTGCTGCTGCTGCTGCTGTTGCTGCTGCTGCTGCTGCAGCAGCTGCTGTTAGATATATACTGAGGCACTCTACGGTAAAAACTCGCAGATATGCATAAAAATAAACAAAAATACTTTAGGGGTGATGAGCTGTCTAGACACTGCAGGCAGCAGCAACATGTGCTGCTCTTGCTGCTGTTGCTGCTGTTGCTGCTGCTGTTGTTGCTGTTGTTGCTGCTGGGTTCATTAGCTGCTGCTTCGTCTGCTGCAGCAAATAAACTTGCTGGTATCCCTTTAAATAAATAAATAAATAAATTAATTAATTAATTAATTAATTTTTATTTTGTTTATTTATTTCTTCCTTCCTCCTCCTCGGGTGTACGGGCAGCTACCGTGGGGCGGTCGCAGCAGCTTTGGGTGCAGCAGCAGCAAAAGAAGAAAATAAATAATTTATTTCTTCTTTTTTATTTCTTTTCCTTTATTATTTATTATTATAAATAAAATAACTCTTTATTAGTGCTCCTTAACAGCCCCTTTCTTTTAATCCTAGTAACATACTAGCTGCTGCTGTTGTTGCTGCTGCTGCTGCTGCTGTTGCTGCAGTGTACGTACACCTCAAAGTGCTGCTGCACCTTAGTAATAAATAAGACAGTATAATTAAATAAATTTATTTTAGTGTTATTTTCGTTTTCCTTCTTTCTTTATTTCCTTACCTCCATCCCTTCTTCTCTATACATTTAGTAGCTGCTGTTTTTGCTGCTCCTGCTGCAGCAGCTGCAGCAGCAGCAGCAGCAACAGCAACACTGTTACAACAGTTAGTCATCTAGTCACTGCTCCTGCTGCTGCTGTTGCTGCTGCTGTTGCTGCAGCAGCTCCTACTCAATCCAACACTTGGGAGCAGCGAGGCAGCAGCACACAGCAACGGATCAGGAGCAGCAGCTACAGCAGCAGCGCTAGCAGCAGCTACAGCAGCAGCAACAGCAGTAACAACAGCAGCAGCAACAGCAGTAACAACAGCAGCAGCGAAGACAGTATCAGCAGAAGCAGCACAAGCAGCTCTAATCACGCGGAAGCCACTGCTGCAGCAGCACAAGGCGCAGCAGCAGCAACAACAGTAACAGCAGCAGATGTTCTGTCCACTGCTGCAGCAGCAAGAGAGGGGACTGCTGCTGCTATTAACAGCAGCAGCGCTTCTTAGCACCTCCCCAGCAGCAGCAGCAGCAGCAGCAACAGCAACAGCACCGGCAGCAGGTTGACTGCTGCTGCTGCATGCGTATTTGCTTTAGGGTTGAGGAGGGAGAAGCAGCAACATAAAAATGGGGTGTATAGGCAGCTCTGCTGCTGCAACACAACTACTAAACCCTAAACCCCAAACAAGGGTTTAGGGTTTACTGTTTTATTTTTTTTCGTCTTTTCTACATGCATTTTCAGGTGTATAGGCAGCTGTCTGCAGCAGCAGCAGCAGCAGGGAGTTGCATATACATTTGGCTGCCTTTTCTTATGATTAATCTTAATCTAATTTTTATTTTTTGTTATCGAGGGTTTAGGGTTTAGGGTTTAGGGTTTAGGGTTTAGATATAGTAGGAAGAAGGAAGCGCTGCTGCTGTTATCCCTTAATAAATACTTTTTATACTTTTTCTTCTTTTTTTTTTTATTAATATAAATAAATAATTTATTTATTTCTTTTTATTATTTTTATTTATATATAATATAATATAATTATTATTTTATTTATTTATTAAATAAAATAATAAATAAATAAACAATTAATTATAATTATATTAAACTATATTTACATAAACCCTAAACCCTAAACCCTAAAGACTAGCACCAGCAACAGCAGCAACAGCAGCAACAGCAGCAGCAGCAGCAGCAGCAGCAGCAGATACAGCCTCTTCCTGTCGTTAATTGTGTATTTGTTTGTATTTATTTAGGTAAAAAAAATAGAAAAAGGAGGAAAAAAGGAAAAAAAAGAGGAAAAAAAAAGGAATAAAAAGGAATAAAAAGAAAAAGGAATAAAAAGGAATAAAAAGGAATAAAAAGGAGGAAAATAAAAAAATATTATTAAGTAGGTTTTTTTTTTCATGTATGCATTCATGCATGCATGCATATGCATGCATGCATGCATGCAAAGCCCCATTAAAATAATAAATAATAAAAAGAAAAATAGAAAAAAAGGAAAATAAAAAAAAAGTAAAAGGCGCAAGAAAAAGAAGAAAAGTTTATTGTATCTGCCTATACACCACAAAGAAGGTCTATATATAATAATAAATATATATACATTATACATAACATATATATATTATATACTATATGTATATTATATTATATATGTATAAATAATATATATACAGAGAGGGGAAGGAAAAAGAAGAAGAAAATAAATTAAATAAAAAGAATTCCTTCTGTTTTTTTGTTGTCTTTTTCCCCCTATTATATTAATATTATTATTATTATTATTATTAAGGGGAATAAAGTAATTAAATAAAAAAAAGGAAGAAAAGAATAAAATGTGCTCTCTTTAGGCTAATAAAAAAGAATAAATATAAAATAATTAATATAAATAATAATAATAATGAAAAGAAGAGGAAGAAGGAAGAAATACATAAAAAAATAATAGTTGCATGTACACCTGGATATAGGAAAAGGGGTAAAAGGGTAAAAAATATGTATAAAATGTATTTTTTTATTTAATTGAATAAAATAAGAATAAAATAATAAAAAATAAATAAAATAAAAGAATAAATAAAATAAAATAAATAAATATAATGAATTAAATAAAGAAGGAAAAAAAAAGGGGGGTTTATTGCTCTGATTTAATGGGGCTTTTTATGCAAGGAGGCACTACTGTCTTATCCTTATATATATTTATGTATAGCAGAGGATAAAAAATACATAATAATTAATAATTTATGTTGAATAAATAGTATAAAATGTTTTAATTTCCTTTTTTTGTTGTTTTTTTCCTCTTTTTTTCTTCTTTTCCTTCTTATTCATGACTCTTCTTATATACGGTGCAGAATATTGAGCTGCCTATACACCGCAACACCACATGCTGCGGGTATAAAACAAAAAAGGGGAAAAAGGTATAAAATAGGTATAATTGGTTCCTTCTTTCGTTAAAAAAAGACATTTTTCTTTTTATAATTGTATTAATTATTTATTAATGCAAAAAAATACATATTTAATGATATATTCTTTGCAAAATATATATTCAGGTGTATAGGCAGCTCAATATAATCACCGCAGCAGCAAAGGAGCCCTCTCCTTGCCCGCCGCCGCCTTGTTTATGATGCTATAGGGGTATATTTTCTTGCAAATATACGTTTTTTTGATTCTTTTCTTCATTCTTCTTTGAATAAACCTTTTATTTAATCAATATATTCCTTTAGACATACATCCTTTTCCTTTTTTGTCCTTATTATCATGGCGCAGACGTCATTATCTCAGCGTGCAGAGGTATGTATAAATACAATGCCCCACGATACATAATACTCCTTATTCTGTCGTCTTATTTCTTTATTTTTTTTTATTTGTATAAATAAAATAATTAATTATTTAAGCATGTCCATTTTTTATTCTTTT